GCAACAGATAAATACGTAATTGTTGGCAATCATCCAATTCCTCTTGCGAACTAAGTCGCAACTGATGGATGATAATATAAATATGTATGTGTAAAACAAATAAGACATTAAAGGAGTTCGCAAGATAGAAAGGTGTTAACCTGTGCACACTTTAAATGCCATTAATTGAATTACTAAATTTCGTGTGACACGAAAACGGAGTCGTCGTCTTCAATGCATATTAATTGAAATAAATTGAAAATAACTTTAATTCCGATTTCGTTTCTATCTTTAAATTAAACCTTCTATTTGTCCTCTACGCATAAACACTGAGAAGTTATGAATTTTTTTGAGTTAGTCATAAATATTGCGAAGTCCTTTTAAAAAATCCTGACGGCAAAAAGAAAAGCTAAAACGCAGTTTATTACTAGTCTCATAGTTTTGCGAGTGTATTGATTCTTTTGTGTTTTGAAATTTTTAGATTTTTGTCGCACGGTGTAGTAGCCAAGAGAACTGATATTAAAAAAAAAAATTAGGTACAGCTTAAAATGCATTACTAGAATCGAAACGGTAATAGCCCGAGGCAAACCCTTTTAGTTTTTTTTTACTATAATGGGCGAGTAACGTATTTATTATTTATAGATCCTTCTTTCTCATAGGTATTACTCAAAGAATTTATTTTTTGCTCTCATGACCTCATATGTAAGTTTTAAAAAATCTTTTATCGATTACCATACTTATTTTTGCATTGCCCTTACTGACTTTAGCAATAGAATGCAAATTAATAGGTACAATGCTTCTCTTCAAGAATGAAGTTAAGGATTTTACTTTTAGGGATCGGAGAGTCTTTGTTTTAGGGCCGTTGTCATCATGTCTGATTAACCCTAATTCCCAATTAAACATTGTTGGCGACCGTCGCAATATTGTCTGCATGTTTAACAGGGGATTAGTGTTAACTGAACATAGTACAAACGGCCCTTAGAATAATCTTTAAAAGGGCAAAAAACATATAGTAAGAGGAGTAAAGAAAGAAGCACGGAACGTCTATCGCTTCAAAATATCTAAAATAAGGGCTCCTAAAGGTCCTATTTTTTCTGATTCTGCCGACTGGTACCCACATGTAAGGATAGGAGAGGGCATAAAGGTGAACTTGAGTTCCACACATTTTTGTCAATTCGGCCTTAAGAAGTTCGCAAAAATTGTATTTAAAATCTCTGGTTGAGCTCACGGTTGAATGACTTTCTGGGATAAATATTGTTTCAGCCGTCATCGTTTGAAAAAAGAAAAAAAAAACAGGAAATATAGCCGAAACAAAAAGGCAACACGGAAATGATATAAGGCGCACTGAGAGGTCTGCACTATATGATTGCCGTGACACTGCACTTAAAACAAGAAAAAAAGTTGGTCTTATGCCACCACCAAATAAGTAAAGGACTTTTGCGGAATTTAAAAAAAGGTAATCAATAAATGCATAAAGATGAGAGTCAAGAGTGGAATTTCGGAAGCATTTTTTAGTTTCGATTACTGCACATTATAGCTGAGAAGATATAATGGTGCTATAAGGCGTGATGCCACTTTATGGAAAAACTAACGCCAAAATTTAAATCCCGAAGTTGTAGTCTTCGCTGGCGAAAAAATTTAGCTTTTATGACTTCAACGGATTTAATAATTACTTTTGAGATTTTTGAGATGACGATTTTTTTATAGCGGTTTGAGGCGCGGACAGTGTTCTGAACAATTTTTTTTCCAAGACGTTTTTCAAGTTAAATTTTTTTTATTTTTCAATCAAAACATTGACCAAGCTTTGGCCAAAACCATAAAAAAGCTTCAAATCTAATACAAAATTTAGGAAAATTCCACTAATTTTCACCAAAATTTCGAGTTTTTTAATCTGGATCTTTACAAAAGTTTTGGGTATGCTCGAAATTTTGATAAAAAATAGTTGAATTTTCCTAAATTTTGTACGAGGTTTGAGTCTTCATGATTCAAATGGTTTTGACTAAAGCTTGGACAATATTTTTATAGAAAAATAACAAAAAAAAAAATTTAATTGACAAACAGTAATTATTTAAAGAAAATCAACACGTGAACAATTGTTTGAGTCACTCCGGGCGGGATGTACGTACATCATATATCGCTCAAACTCGAAATAAACGGTTTTAAAGTTGTGAATTTACATATACTGCCATGGTAAAAATTAATAAATATTCCGTACTAGTGAAATGCTGGTAATCGATACAGCTATGAAATTTTTACACAATGCAGAAGAAGAGGTAGCTGTAATTGCTGCATACTTAATTCAGCTTTTCTAGTTTGAAGCAAATGAGCGATAAGGTCATGCATATTTCTAACATGCTCCAAAAAAAAAAACAAAAACAGTGTTTCTCGACTGTCAAACTTGCATTCTAAATTACATTTTTAACTATTAAGAAAAAAACACGACCCGCGTTACTCTGGCATCGACCGATATTTACTGATGTTCGTATGCCGCAACGATGGTGTTGGTACCTTTAGCGGTGGGCACGTCTTTGGTACGCGTTACCGTTGTGAAAACTAATGAACCAGGTTCACAATTGTCGCAACAACGACGAGACGAACACCGCGTTCCAAGTCATTTGAATGCAAAAATCGTACTAAAATAAAATAAAACTAATCTGCGGGTTGTACGCGGCTAACAAACAGTACCAGGTTATAGACAAGCTAGATAGCATACATACATACATACAAATGTACCTGTACAAATACGTTAATTCATTACCACACATCAATGTATGTATGTACATATGTGTATGTACACGCGTATTCGGATGAATAGGCATTGCAACTGTTCAGGTGCATATTTCCGAGGTACCTAAGTCCGTAAAAGCGGCCAAACACCAAAACACTAAACACTGATGGATGGTTGTGGATGGTGTCAATGATGATATGTCGCGTAATCCCACCAGTTAGTTTATGTAAATACATGCTATGATGTGAGTAGAATAGCGTCATAACACCACGAAAGTGAGAAATTCTGACAAATTTTGAATGCACAAAACGCACTGATGTGCACACACACACACACACGGCTACCGCCTCCCTTATACAACGCTCACATATGACAGCACTGGCTGACAGCATTATATGATACTTATGACATACTCGTATCTATGGTGGGTGGGTGAATGCCACCACACAGCAGAGAGACTAAAACTGTAAAATGACAGT